ACCATGGCGATGTTGCTAAGTTGGAGGAAAGGTTCAAAACCAGCTAAGCCTGTCCGTGAACAGACAGAAAAATTGCTCCAACACGCAAGAAAAAATTACGGTTCTGGCTAGTGCTTAAAGGCTCGATGGAAACAATAGTAATACTGTATTAGAGATAATTGGGGATCACGTTCTGTGCTCCGTTTCTTTAGTTAATTATTGAGAGACATTTTGTTTTGATTTCTAATAATTTTCCAATTTAAATCACAATTTACACTTCTTGCTGTAAAAAAGACCAGTCTGTAATTTGGACTAGCAAATTCACAGTAGGACTATTAAAATTATGAGTTCACTAGTCCAAATGACTAGTAAGGAAAATAGTTAACGTCACAGACTGCCCCTTATGTGGAGAGTCTGTTTTTGTCGCACATTACCAGCTGGGACTGTTGAGGACGAGGACACACCTGTTGCCACCAAGGTCTCTCCGGGGGAGAAGGGACGAGGAGCCTCAACAGCCCGCGCTGGGTAATGTCTACCCTCCACTATAAGGGCAAGAAGACCCAGGACGTCCGGGACCCCGCAGTCATGGGCCTGTGCACAGAGCATGCGCACAAGGCCCCTGACCCATTGGTCCCAGCCATCCTCGGGGCTGCCCTCATGGTCAGGGTGTCGCTGCGTCAACTGCTCCCGGTTGTTCTCGCCCACCCCACACACTAGGCATCCGCCCTCCACGTTCACCAACAAATTGAGGTGAACGGAGAGGGCGTGACGCCTAGGGTGGCGGTCAACATCCGGGCACAGGTCACAGTTCCGGTACCTGACCCCTTTGTTCCTAGCCGGCTCGCTGGGAGAGGACGATGCCCCTTGCTCGCTTGCCAGCGAAGGGACACGACGCCTCTCGGCGGAGGAGGCCGTGCCTCGAGCAGAGAACCGCTCTAGAGGTACAAACCCTCCCTCGGCCCCGGCAGGAATGTAGGGGAGGGGTCCCAGGGACTGGGCCCTAGACCCCCTTTCCCCTGTAAGGGAAGCTAGCCCCCTACCAGCTAACTGGCAAGAAGGCTCCTCCCAACTCCGAGCAGAAAACCGCTCAGGAGGTTGAACGCTTACCTTCGGACCCGGCTGCAGGTTCAGCCTGGGTCCTGAAGGTTGACCAGAGGTGGAGGGAGACGCAGAGGCAGCTGACCGCCTCCGTCTTCCGGATCTCCTCCTCCTCCTGGGCTTCCGGTCCTTTCCCGGTGCCTCCTTCTCCTCCGAGTTGGGAGGAAAAGGGGCCCCCTGGAAAGGCACCGGCGGGGTGGCCTCAACCACCTCCTCCACTGGTCTCTGGGGTGCCCTGAAGGCCCCCCACCCCAGGAACGGTCGGACCGACTCCGGATCAGTCTCGAGTGGAGCCGTCCTAGTGATCCTGGGAGCAGGAATCACAGGGTCATCCCCGGAGACCACGGGCATGTCCAGGATGAACTGGGGTGGGCCCATCCTGATCACAGGCTTGAAGCTCCACCCCCCGTCCTCCTCACTGGAGGCCAGCTCCTCCTCGGGATCCTGAGTCCCCTCACCGAGGACCTCCCCCTCAGGCTCACTGGCCTCCTCTCCCATCCCTTGGATGGTGTCAGATTCTCCGTAGAAGGGGAACTCTGACCAGTTCCCCTCCCCCTTAGGGCCCTCTGTCCCTTCCTCCACCTCCGGAGGAGCTAACTCCACCTCTGGAGGTGCCGCCTCCTCCTCTGCGCTTAGGAATTCCTCACTCGAGGAATAATCGATTCTGAGAATGTTGTCCATTCTGTAAAGGAAAGAAAACCTTCCTCTACTATGATGAAATAGAAATACCCTTTTTTGAAGACTCGCTCTCCATTAAAGCTGTCTCCCTCACCTGCACCCTGTGACTTCATTTAACAAGTCCCAGGAAATACGGAGGGATTTTTACTATCCTTGCTACTATCCCTAGAGCGCTTTTCTATACCCCTTAGGTATAGTATTTTTTATATACCATACCACCAACTATGCTCTGCACTGGTTTTAGTGAAGAACATAGTTGTCGAGTTTCTGGGGTGCCCTTGTCTGCCTTCCCGTGCGGGTACGTACCCCACCCGTACTACCACGACAATTGGTAGTGTCACTCGGAATGACACTAGCTTTACCTAGCCGCTCATCAACGATTGGGTGCCCATGCTCAGAGACCTGTCCTTTCCTACCCTCGTCATGCGTTCCCACCAAGGGTTCGGGAGAACCTGCCCCCGTCGGGGGTTCGGGTCCCTGCGTGCGCGTCTCACGATTCTTCGCACCTACGACCGGCACCTGTACGGGCAATGAGAGAGAATGTTTCATGCGACGCAACCACAAGGGCAGAAACCGCCCATTGTAAGCTTTTAACCGATCATGATGGCAGTGCTTTGACCCCTTGTGATTCCTCAAATTGTAAACTGGGTGCTTTACCCCAGCTATCAGGTATGGTCCTATCCAGGGGGGCTTCAGCTTTGAGCTTTTTCCTACCTTCGTGGACGTGTCCCTTTTGTATACGA